ACGTAAATTTTAAAGTGAAGTTCTACAAATTTGTCGGATGCAGAAATTCTGCAAGTTCGTTCCGCTTTATCCACTGCTGTACGTACAGCAAGAGAATGATGCAGAAATTCTGCATTTCAACTGGCTTCTCATAATGCAGAAATTCTGCAATGTCCTAAGACTCGGTGAAAATCCGATGTGAAATAGTTCACTGTATTAATAAGAAGGATAGATAAATTTTGCACTGTAGTAAAGAACATGCAAAAATTCTGCATCCCAACCTGATGATGCAGAAATTCTGCATCCCAAATTGATGATGCAGAAATTCTGCATCCCAACCTGATGATGCAGAAATTCTGCATCCCAATCTAATGATTCAGAAATTTTGCATCCCAACCTGATGATGCAGAAATTCTGCTTTGTGTTAAAAACGCGATGAGAATATGATGTGAAATAGTTCACAGATTGAATCGAAATAGTAAAGAAACTTTGCTCCTCAGTGACATGCAGTCAAAAACATGAAATAATCATCTACTGGAGGCAATACTTTCAGATATTCAGCGTCCTTACTTTCCTAAATACAATAATTTTAAAATATTTTAAAATTTTAAAATAGTTTTAAAATATTTTGAAATAAAAATACTTCTGGGCAGCACGCAGCAACAACTAATGATCATGTACAAATGAGTTCATTAATCGACCTGTTTCGTCTGCTAGTGAGACTTCGTCAGGATTAAACTACAAGATACAAAGATGGAACTTATTTTATGCTAAAACTTTGTACTACAAAGTACGCTCCCACTATAGGGTGTGAATATCCTAAAACTAGGTAGTAAAAACTTAGCAGGTTACCCTCTAAGGCGTAAACGTTTCCAGAACAGCAGGCGGGTCTCCCTAAATGAGTGAAGAGAGAGCTGTTTCTGGCATAACGCATAAGCTCGCCTTTGATAAAAGCTTTTCTGTTGCTACGGGGGTGAAATGACTAATACGGTATCTAAAAATACTTATTTAGCGGCTTCTGAAAGGTAGAATAATGAAGCGTACAACAATCATCAACCCTGAAAAGAAGCAGGTCTGAAAACAAAATCTTGGACTTGCTGATTTCGTAAGTTATCTTAATACACTCATCCTTAGTGTCAATAGCATGCAGAAATTCTAGAAGGATCTCACGAGAGCCATCCCAGATAACAAATTTGTCATCGATGAAAGGCTGATAGAGAGGAAGATAGCGAGAAAGTAAGTAAGTAAGTAAGTAAGTAAAGACTTTATTTAAAGAAGGTAGCACTAAAATAGTATAAAAATACTAACAAACCAGTGGCCCTCTAAAAATTATGTACAATACGGATG